CCTCCCCTCCCCCACCCTGCCAGTCCTCCCTTCTCTTTCCTCCCCCCCCTCCCTCACCCTCCTTTCCTCTTCACCCCTCCGCCTTTCTGCAACCTTATCTCTGTACATTTACTGCCCAAAAAAATGACTACCTACTTAGCGCTCAGAGTTTTTCCGGCGCGGGTTGTGGCTCAATTGTCGTACTATTGACTTTTAGACTAACCCCCCCCCCCCCCATCTCCTTTACCCCATAGATTCAGAATTTGATGATCGCTTTTTAAAAACTTTTTTTCACTTTTTGCCTAACTGTGTACCGTCTCCTTCCCCCTTGCAGCTTGCTGCCGCTGATATTATTTCTCTTAATTCGCCTTCTCCTCCATATTTACTCCCCTTCTCTACCCCATTCTCCCCTCGCCCGTCTCGTCGAGCTTGTACTGATCATGGAGTTATTTTACCCCGTCGTTCCCCCTTCCTTTCACTCTCCCCCTCCTCTCTCCTTTGCTTTTGACGATGGCCGACAAAATTCTGTATCGAGGATGTAATAATGATGCTCCTGCATATGTTGGCGAGGCTCGGCCGAGGCTCGGTTGCGGCGCTCGGGGAGTGTTTTGTTGTACTTAATAAAGCGCCCCTCCCCTCCCCTTCACTTCACTCCCTCTCCCGGCGCTCGCTCCCACCTTACTCCCCGAGGCCAGAGGAGGAGGCTTGCAGGTCGCCGCGCCACGCCGCCAGGCCGCTCCGTCGCGCTTCGCACAGCCTTTGAAAGCCCCTTCGCCTCCTCCTCCTACCATGTAATTTCGATAAATACATATCGGTTTGAGACTATCGTAAAGTCGGAGGTGTATGGATTCATCTCTCATATCGGGCCGGCCCCGCAAGCGGGGCTGCGTCCGAGCCTGGTGCTGCTCTTGTGTTGCGAATGTCGTCTTATCCGGACGCTACTCGCAGCGCGGTGTTCGTGTTCACTCTCGGGGGTTAGATGGAGCTCCCGTCAGAAAGAAAAATAGGGGGAAGAGAGCAAGGAGTTGGGGGAATGGGGGGCTCTCCTTCTGGTAGAGCCAGAATCGAAATAGTCGAATATTGAAGTTCCTTGACTTGATGCACGATGCACATGGGGCACCGCCCGTGACATGTCGTTTTTGCATTCGCTATGTTTTGATCGATGATTTTGATCCGAGTTGCGCCTCAAAAGCGTGCTGCAAAAGTGTGATGTGTACACCGTCCAGACTTTCCCACAGAGTACCCGGGCGCGGGCGCCTTCCCGGCTGCCCCCGGGCTGTGGGCATTTACCTCGGAGCCCCGAATCTTCTTACGCGAAATTTGCGCCCCGAGACGGCGGCGTCGGGCGATGCGTCTGAAGCGAAATTGGCACAAGGGCATTTGCGAAAACGATATACATCTTTTTGTTTGCGGGCGCAAGGAATATGTTCATTTTTATTTGTTGTGCATTGTTTTTTTTTTTACCACCTTATTATGTCGGGTTTGTTCTTTGCCAAAGTTCGATCGTCTAAGGGCCGTGCGTTGCAGATTTTCTGTCTGCACTCTTTGAAAATGCGCGGCCTGCTTCCTCTTGTTCCCAATACCCAGAAGACGTAATGCGATATAAGAAACCGAGGGAGGGGAGGGGCGGGGGTGACGACTGCTACCTCCGCGCCCCCCCCCCCTCCCCGTCCCTGTTTGAGCAGAGGGGGCAGCGCGGCCGTTCTTATAAAGGCCTAATGTTGCGCGGAATAGTAAATGCGTCCCGGCGCAGTCTGTGGAGAAGGCATGCCGCCCTGTTGTTAAAATCTCTCTGTAATCTCACTGTAGTACCGGGTGATTCAGAGAAGATGCAGGAGCGGGTTGGTTTTGCCTACCCAAGGGGCTATAGCGCCTTACATGCAGAGCAGATAGGCAAACCCGCGCGATCCTGCGCCCTCTCTGAATCACCCGGTACGTGTTGTACGTTTTCCCGAGCATGCCGTAGATGTTGGAAGCTTGTTGGAATGAGACATCCCCTTCCGTCCTAAACAACCCCTGCGTGTGTCTGTGAGTGTGTGTGAGCGTCCCCGTTTTGTAACGCCTTGGTTCCACGCTTCTTATGTTTTCAGGTGAGTAACGAGCTTACCTCATCTGTTAGTCCTTCGCCCTCCAGCCTGAGCAACGGAGTAGTAAGTCACTTTTTCAATTTTTTCCAATCTTTATACATAGTATTATAAGTACCGTACAGACGTCCCGCGTTATATTTTTGTATCCTCTCGGCCGCCCCCCCCCCCCTTTTTCTCTTGCTTGGAGAGAAACAGGGAGGAGAGGAGGAGAGGTTTGCGAATCGGCTGAACTTGACGGTTGGCGACCTCGTGTGCAGCCGGGCGCGGCGGGGCGGTGTGGGGCGGGGCGCGGAGGTCCTGTCTGATTATGCAGATGAAGGCGCGGGCAACTCGCGAACTGATCTGATTGGGCGAGCAGAGCCGCCATATTGCTCCTCTCTCTCTCACTCTCGCCCTCTCTCGCTCGCTCTGCCTCTCACTCGCTCCTCGACCGCCGCCCTCCCACTTTGATCCAATCTCCTCAGCCCGGCCGACGACGGCGGCTCGGCTCGGTCCGCCTTCCCCCCTTGATTTCGTCATGTTGTTGCAAATGGTTAAGCGGCTTCAGATGTAATCCTTTCCCTTCTTCCCTTCTGTGTCTGTCTGGCGGGCTTGGCCGTCCGGAACGCCCTTCTGCCACCTGCCCGCCCCGCCTCACCCCGCCCTTGTGCCCGCCCAACCCGTCTCGCTCGATTCCTCCTCGGAGAAAATCGCCCATCGGTCTGGCGAGGCGATCCAATCATCTGGCCCCCTCCACTCTTCCTCCCCTCCCCCACCCTGCCAGTCCTCCCTTCTCTAGTGGGGGTGCTGCATCGCCCAATATGGAAATGCTACTAGATTCTGTGCCTTTCTCATTTCCTCCTGCTCTTGCCCCTCAGTCTCTCTCACGTCGTGTTGGTATACCCCCACATTTTTCTTACTCTGACGCGTCGGCCGGTGTCGCTCGCCGTCGTATCTCGTGTGGGTCGCTCTCCTCGGGAGTTGCGGCGATTTGCCCCGAACACGTCGAATCTCCCTCTCGGCCTCGCTGCCGTCTATACCTGGGACTCGCCCTCCTCCGTCTGTTTGGATATTAATCGTCACTCCACACACGGGGGCAGAAAAGTGTGTGTGCGAGAGAGAGAGAGAGAGAGAGAGAGAGAGACAGAGACAGAGAGAGGAGGTATCTGTCTCTAAACACTGGCGTTACAAAAGAGGTAGTAGCTTGCCGGGTGGTCGCATACCGCCATACCCCCATTCCGAACTCCCTTTTCACGCTA